TAGTAGTAGTAGTAGGAGTAGGGGTAGGAGTAGGAGTAGGAGCAGTAGCAGTAGCAGTAGCAGTAGCAGTAGCAGTAGCAGTAGCAGTAGCAGTAGCAGTAGCAGTAGCTGTTGTTGTTGCTGCAGTCACCCGCAGCAGCAGTGCCCAGCATCTGTCGCGGTACCACCAGCAGTCAGTACTTGTGGATGAAGTCGCTGCCGGTCTCAGTAGTGGGTGGTAGCTCGAAGATGGTATTGAGTGGTAGTAGCTAGCACTGGTGCAGAAACCAAAGCCCAAGTTTTCCGGCTCAAACCTTGTTACTTGTTTACCAGCTTGCTCTGTGCAGGTCATGATTTCGATGCCTTGCTGGTGTTCTCCGAGCACGGGTATGTTTACATGTTGCAGGCAGTTTGCTGCCGGCAGTGCATGCTTAGAGCTGTTGCTTGGTGTCCGAAGAGGCCCTGGACGTCCCCTTGGCCAAGAAATGCAGCATGCAGGGTGCAGAGTTGAAGGACCTGCCATGGTCGAACTTGGGGTTCGCCGAGATCTGACGACAGTACCATTAAGTGGATTTGCAGATGCAGGCGGAAGACAGCTGATATGTGGACCAAACTGCATTGATCGCAGGACTTTCTGCCAGAGCTCCAGGATCATCGCATAACGGCCCTGGTCACTGTCGCTCATCGCTCCCTCAGGCCTGTGAGCGCATGCCGATGCCTGAAGCATTGGGATAACAGGCACTAGGAGGCGAAGAGCACTTGCTTCGGAGGACAGCTGTCGATATGCTCGGTTCAGGGACCAAACAGACGACTTCGTGGTGCTGGTGTCCAAGAAGGGCTTCGCCAAGAAGGCCGACATACGTTTTGAATGATCCAGCATGTGCTTCGCACTTAGTCGTTGCCGAACCGTGACATTTTCGTAAAGGTTTCAGTTTCGTGACAGTCGATGCTGGCCCGTTCAAGTGCTCAATAGGTACTGCAGCTGAGCTTTCGCGTTCGCGCTTCCCTCTTTTGGCTTGCAGGTCTCTATTGCCCGCTTTCGCGGCCTGCGCCCGGGCAGAGGACTCCCGTGCATGAAACTGGCGCGGAACCCAGAGCGCAGTGTTTCCGTGTAGAGAAGAAACTGGAGTAAAGGACAGAATTGGCTTTCATTTTCAATCGAGTTATGGTGGCACAGCAACCACCAGTACCCGTCTAAACGGATCAATGTCAACCCGTACCTTCTTGGAGAAGGACTGCCACGATCCGCGTCCACTGGCGTCAAGCTCCGTGCAGCTAGGGTCGACATTGCGTACCTATGGCACAGGCACACTTAGCAAGACAGCAGAGGGAGAGGCTCGCACTTATACTTTTCGGGTGCGTCACTCGAGCCTCACCGCAAAGACCGAGACCTCATACACTTCGTGCAGGCGGACGTGGTCCATGTGCGCTCTGTTAGTAAAGCCGTTCTCGCTTTTTCTTTTTGCGGTCTGTCTAGCAAGGCTGCTGACGATGAGTTGCAGTGGGCACACAAGGAGAAGCCAGTGTGTTGCCCTTGCTGGCCACTTGTTTGCTGCGCATGCGAGCAGCTGCAAGCTGTGTGAAGCTGGTCGTCCGCTCTTCTGAATACGTACTGTAATTGCACATAGAGTGGATAAGGTGGGAGCCTGCCCTGACTTTGGCAGGCCACGGCAAACTCTGCACTAGTTGTGGCAACAGCAGAAGGCGGAGTTCTACGTGTGTCGCTTGGCCAGGACCGTCTCGACTTAAGTCTGATCGAAAAGGCTTTTATGGTGCTGTAGTACACGTCCATTCCCTGGCAGAGGACTGGTCCTTGAACACCGCCAAAGGGCGAGAAGCTTAAGCACGGATATTGCAGCTCTAGGTGTGAATCTTGGTCTATTGTTCTGCTTCCTTGCTTCCTTTCTTACAGCAAGGCTGCATGTGATGAGCCAGTTTCATGTGCCTAATCGCATGATCCACAGGCAGATCCAACAGTTAAACAAAAACAGATTCTGTTGACAGACATGTCTCGTTGTGATGTGCCCCACCGAGCAGCAACAACCCAGTGGGTGTTCGCAATGCTATCGGCACCTCGACACTGGGGAGCATCGTCCATGTCCGAGCAAGACGACTCGTCACAGTCTCAGCCTTCAAGAGGTTGCCGGCGAGCACGTTCCGACGGGCAAGTTTTGAACCACCATTTTCTTTCGTGTTTTGGAGAGGGCGTGCTCGAAGGTACTAGTATCTGCAATCTCACTTCCAGAGAAGCCTTTTGGGACAGCTGCTTAAATGGGCCTACAGTATAATGCAATGCAGGGCGCTTCGAAGCCCTAGCTGCATTCCAACTTCAAGACTGCAGCAATGGGATAGCTCTGGAGTATGGCCGCAACCCTCAGAGCCTTTTCCGAACGAGGCCAGAGCCCCCCGTTAGCACTATGAGGGCTGCGAATGCAGAGAAAACCATAGCAACGCCATTATCGAGCGACGTAACTCGCGTAGCGAGTGTTTGTTCAAGAGTTGCAAGCTTGAGAAGCAGTTGTATGGGCTTGTACAGCCGCTTGTCGCGGTGCAACTTGACAATTTCTGCGCTTGCGCATGGTCGAACCCGGGTGTGGCGGGCAGCTGCTGAACCGCAGATTTGGAGGTGGGTCCTTGGCGCTTCGATTGTTTGTAGACATTGCTGGCTTCGATCTCTACCGGGCAGTGGAAGGTCGTATTTTTTGTGTGGGCAATGGATGGGCCATGCTGGGCCCAATGCTGGGTCTGTTTTTGCTCATCTTGGGATCTGAAGGTCTGACTGTAAGTTGGGCACCATCGCGTGACATGTCGTGATGTGAACACACCTGCATCGCCTTTGCGGCCGCGAGCAATGCCATGCTGTGCACTGCTATGTCGAGTTGCACTGGTCACCTCGGAGGCTTTGCTTACCGAAAGAGACAGTCTATGGCGGCTATGGCTGCGGAGTGGACGGCCAACGGGTTGCCTCTCTGGGGCTTGTATAGGATCCGCATACTCGTACTACTGTGCCCTACCACAGCCTTGCGCATGCAAAAATGCAGCGTTGTTCTATGCCTTCGTGTTTGTCTTTGTTTCATGTGGGCCTGTGCAAGCCGCGAACCAAGGCCCGGCCGTTCCGTGATCAGGATGTGGAAGAAATTCCAGGAGAAACACGACAACACGCGGGTGAATGCTCTCTCCGTTTGGATACTTGGGCTTCCTGGCTTCTATTCCTCTTGAGGAAGATTACATCGTGGCTTCCAGCATCTCTGCCCTCACCGCGGCGGTCGGGTCCTCGAGAGACCGTGCGCTTCGAAATGCAAGCTACGTCCGCAAGTGCAGAACATGTTTCCTAGGAATTGGCTAACATCCGCTCAAAGGTGGCTGCCAAGGCGAGCTGAATTTTCAGAGTGCAGTTCCTCGCTGCTGTGTCAGGCTTGCAACATCCCACGGCAGTCCAATGTCCAAGTTTGGCTCAGGCGAGTGCGGCAACGCGTTCCAGTGTGGAAGTTCCTTGACAGCAAAACCGAACAGACAGATTCAGACAGATTGCCGTGCAGTCGAGCTGATTTTCCGTAAGGGCCCAACGAAAGCCGAGAACGAAGAATCAGAAAAGGAGGAGGCAGCAGACAAGGAGGATGCAGCAGAAAAGGAAGAGGCTCAAATTTGTTGCTGGGCAACACTGCATAGTGTGTATTCAGTAATAGTCCGTGTGCAGTGCTGAAGCCGTCGAAAAAAGCCGACAACTCGCAAGCACGCAGGCTGCAGCAGACGACAGTGACGAAGATGAGAAGGACTTCCCGAACAAAAAGCGTCACAGGGTTTACAACAGTTGGCCACACAGGTGCATCACTGACAGGAGGGTTGTGTATGCTAAGAGCAGGTGAGTGGTCTGTGCAGGATGCAGAGGACGTCAGCGGCGAGAAGGCAGACGGAGCTCAGGACCCACATCTTACAAATGCATGTCAAGATACGTTGCAATGCATCAAGCATCAATGTCGACTTGTGCTTTGTGCATCTGGGTAGTTCTCTAAATTAGGGTCCCTTTTAGGGTCCTTTTTATACGGGTGCCGTACTATTTAGGGGACCTAAAAAGAGACCCTAATTGAGAAGTACCCATTTGGAGAGGGTCCCCTGCCAGGATGAAGTTATGGATGTTGGCCAGGAGTTTGCAGCGTTGTATGAGTCTTGCATGGCTTGCTATGCGTGCAATCGTGAGATGGCAGGTTTCAATAGTGACTGACATCACCTGAGTGCCCATGCGTGCTTGGCTTGCCTGCCCGTGCCGTTAGGAACGGTAGTGACAAAAGCAGACATGGTGAACAAGAATGTCTTCACTCCCTGCACTTACTGCTCTTATCAACGTACAGTATGTACAGTAAGTGATGGACACACTCCAGCTAAATCCAAGTGGTGCTGTTGCGGGGAGCGCCGCAGCAGGTGTGGTGGAACTATATACCTACCTTTCCCAGCAGAAACTGAGGGATCTACTTGTCGTGCTGTCCAAAGCAGCCAGAAGCCTTTCATTTCAGTGATTTCTTACGGGTCGTACACAGTCCGATCCGAGATGGAGGCAGGCTAAACCATCAGGGGGAGCCATTCGAGTCGGCGGCTTACTGGGGAATGCTTTCATGCAAGCTTGAACTGCTGGTGGCCGATCGTTGAGCCAATGAGGTGCTCTCCCTTGTCCATGGAGAAGTACTCTTTCGTGCAGCGGCTGGGACAAGGCACCTCGGCCATGCCTCTGCCACTTCACAGTCCACTTCACAGCTGGCTTTTGTCTGAGCCACGCTGCACCGGGCAAGGGCTGCTCGAATGTGAGTTGATTTTATGAAAGGTGCCTTTGCTGTGGTATGGAAGGCACGCCGGAAGTCGGCATGGGCCACAGCTCTTTCGATTTCAGACATTGTTAAGGTGTTGCGAACTTCCACATCTGCTCTGTATGCAAAGACAGAACGCATGGTCCCCGCGAATTGCACTGAGGACGGCCGGCTGGTCGCTGTCAAGCAGCTAAAGCAATCGCCAGAGCCGGGCTCCGGATGTGCACGCTGTTAATCGCAGTGCGCTCGTGGACGCTTGTTGCAAGCCATTGCGCCGCCACGGTGACTGTAGTGATCATAGCCAATATATATAGCCAGACCAAGAACGGCGAGAAGCACTCGGTCCCGTGTTGCCCCCTTCAGAGCGAGCTTTAAGGTCCTGGGAGGCATGCAAGCAGCTTCCAGAGGTGGGTGACAGTTCATGACGCCGGAAGGTTGCGTTTTTGTCAGAGTCACTCTGAGAGGTGCGGGCCGCCGCGGCCATTTCGGACCGGAGGTCTACCGGAAAAATCGAGAAGGCCAGAGCAGCAGAGAACAGCGGCTTGCCATTTCGAGGCATCTGGTGCAACTCCTGGAGGCAGTACGGCACGGTGCGCGCCTCGGCGCGTGGCCGGCACTTCGACAGCCAGCACAGACGTGGCGATGCCGTGGCGAGGTGGCGAACTCTTCCTGGTTTTCGAGTACGTCGAGGGCAGCCTGCACCACTGCATTGCCCCTCGCACTCAAAACGTTCTGTGCTCCAAGAGATTCCAAGAGACGTCCAGACAGGCCGCAGCCCGCCGCGTCGAAGAATCCCAGGCTCGGGCGTCCCGAACAAATGCTTCGGATCGTCAAGCAATGCAGGTGCGCTGGGCAGCACGACGCCTGCTGATGGCACTGGCTGCGGTGCTCACCCGATCGCGCGATTTGAACTTTGAACTGTTAGGTTCCACAAGCCTCACTCAAAGGACAGCAGTCCGTTTAGATTTCGGGATGTTGGAACTCTCGCTTTCCGCGCAGGTTCATGCGGCAGGCTTGGTCCACTGCGATGTCAAGCGAGAGGCTCAGTGGTACTTTGGAACGCTCCTTCTCTGAAGGCTAAGGTCCTGACTTTTGCACAGGTTGCCGGAAAGTCCTTCAGATCTTCAGATTGAAAGCGTCAAACTGGCTCATGGTTCAATATGGTTCAGCGGGTTTCATTTTGCACCTCTACATCACTTTCCTTGGCAGTGGCTGAGCTGTTTCTCCATTCTCTCGTGAGGCCGGAAAACATCCTTGTCGGTGGAAGCGAGAGCGGAGGTCGTGGAGCAGCGGCCGAAGACCGTGCATCGCCGCGCCTCTTGAAGTGGCTTGTGCCGGTGTTCTCAGGCTCCGACGATGAAACTTTGTGATTTCGGACAGTCCGGGCCACCCGGGGCCGCTTGGCAACATGTTGGTGTTGCAAAAGGCTCACAGACCAGCACAAAGTGGACCAAGTCCACGACAGGTCTCGAAAAAATGCAAATTATTGGACAGCATGGCTTTAAATGTTGGCCTTGTCAGCTGGATCCGGCCCTGTGTGCCGGTCTCCCATTGCCAGTCGCCTTCCTGGTTCGTGTAGTCTTGATTGTCTTTTTTCACCCCACTTGGCTGGTGGGCTCGTGGGTGCGTGTGGCGTGCGGCAACACCCACTTTGAGTCAGGAGGGTTGGATTCAGGAGGGTTGGATTTGTTTTACTTCCCCTTGGCCGCAGCCGTTGTTGAAAGGACTTTTTCATTAGTCCGCAATGCGTGGGTTACATTCTATAGGCCATTAGGCTCAGAGTATGCGTCGGTTGTGTCAGTGTTATTTCTCACAGCAAATGTGTGACCAGCCGCAAAAACAGTAGAAGTGGTCGGGTCAAGGCATAGTAGCTGCTGCAATTGCTGGCCCTTTCGTCCCCTAGTAGCCTCCGTGGTCAGACCACTCCTGTTTCGGTGCTCCTAAAGACACCTCTACTCGTAGTACATGTTGAGAGCTGCGCCTGCAAAGGAGATTGCGACCTATGTCGGGCCGGCTTCCCTGGATTGCTCAGCGCAGTGGCGCGTCATTTTGCATGTGTGTGTGTGTGTGTGGGTACGTGCATGTTTGTGTATCTGATGAATCTCTGTGTGTGTGCAACTATGAATGCAGGCATGTACGAACGTATTCGTGCACGTATCTATATGTAATGTCTGTATGTAGGTATCGAATTTGGTAAATCTGTCGATGTATGAATCCTTCATGCATGCATGTGTTCATTATACATCTACACATATGTATATGAGGTAATGTATCAATGTAATGTAGTGCAATTCAGTGCTTTGCAATGTAATCTACTTCAATCTCGCTTGATGTCCTGTCCCGCCCCGTAATCCAATGTGATGTAATGGCATGTAACGTAACGTAGTGTAACGTAATGTGTATTGCATGTTTCGAGTTTGGCAGGCTTGGGTGCACATGTATCATTTGTTATCGTTCGTCCTGCCTTTTGGTTCAAGCCGTGGCAGTTGAGCCAAAATGGCAGGTTCTTTTGCCGTGATCAGCCTCAGGAGTTGCTACCTGTTATGGCTGATGAGCCTAATCTTAGGGAGGGGTATGGGTATCATACCACCTGGCCGACTTTGGCGACACCGACTTACCTCGACTGCCGCCGTCGTCTTCAGCAGCTACATGAGGCGGGCAGGCAAGTGGAGTGTCTTATCCACCGGAGCTGGGGGGTTGAAATGCAGCATTTCCCTCCTGTGTTCAACCACTTGGCTTAACGGGGAGTTGCCCCCGGCTATGTTGGCGGCACGTGTTGACCCTGCCTGCATTCGCAGCAGAACCCATAGAGGAGAATTCCCATTTCCTTTCATCGGGTCTTTCTCGCAAAGGTTGCCCCTGCTACCCCGTCCGTCGAAGCTGAGGCTCGTGTGGAGCAATGCGCGGAGTACCTCACCGAACATGAGGCTGGGGCGGTCGAGAACTTCCACCCCTGGCTTCTGCAGCGTGGCGAACCCTGGTTGGCTTTACCAGCCTCAGGAATGATTTTTCAATGTTTGCTCGGGCCTGGGATTAGCTACTTAAGCAATATACAGTACAACATACTTGTAATATGTAGAAGAAAATATCAAAATATTGTTAGAGAGGGGGTCTTTTCTGATCTACAAGCGCTTTGCCAACTTTTCCTGAGGTTCTCACAGCAGGCAAGTGTAGATCATACAGTAAGTCAAGAATGCGTGAGTGCTATTCTGTTGAGAGTGATAAACCGAGAATCAAGCAGCAATCAATACATCTTCTGTGCAATGACTTCGTTCTTCTTATCTTGAGTTTCCGCGTATCTCGCATGGCGGATGCGCCAGTTGTGGCTCCAGTGCCGGCTGCAGTTGATGATGAGGCAGCTCAAGTTTCAGACCAGCCGCCCCTAGATGCAGTAGTGCAGGAGGCGCCAGAGGTAGAAGCTGGTCTAGATCGTATTTAGGAGGAAGACCTGCAACGACATCTGGAAAAATCTGGAAAGTTGTGCAAACCACAGCACATGCTCGCAGTGCCACGTTGCAGCAGGCAAGCGTTGCAAGAGGTGAGGGTGGCTCATGATATCATAGGCGAGGTTCAGAATCCTAAAGAAGTGGGTGACATCCGTTGTGTAAGTTGAGTATGAATATCTTTTTCTCAGGTTATCTTGGACGGCTTCGCCAAGGTACCAAATTCCTACAGACTGCATCGCCAACTCATAGTTGGAAGCGAAACTGCTCCTTCACGTCGGGCATCATTTGGCGATCATGCCTTGTATGCTTCGAGAATCCTTTCCGGTTGGGTTTAGACCAAATTCCTACAGTCTGCATCGCCAACTCATAGTTGGAAGCGAAAATGCTCCTTCACGTCGGGCATCATTTGNNATTTGGCGATCATGCCTTGTATGCTTTGAGAAACCTTTCCGGTTGGGTTGTTGGCCTTGCCACACCGCAAAACTCAACACTCGCTTTGCCAAGTTCCAGGTACATGGCGAAAGTGGAAGTAATTTGGTCCAACTTTCCGATTTCGTGAAGCATTCCTAGCAGAAGGTCCATGAGCAGGCTTTGAAGAAGTACAGGAAATATTGCGGGAAGTTCATGGTGAAGCTGGCGCAACAGAAGCCCCTGAGGGAGATAAGCCAGTCGGAATAATGTTATCAATACAGGTTCCTCGTTTGGATAGTTGGATAAGTGGGTTGCCGCGGTGAATCTGTCTGCGTCATGCTCGTTTTCAGTGTCTTACGGAGGGCAGTCAAAGGATCCAAACAGCGCCATTTTGTTACGGACATGCTTGCAGCTTAAAGTTCGGCGCGTTTGTTGAGGCGAGATTCCTTTGGTGTCGTGTGCGTGCTACAGTGGTCGTGGGCTGAGCACCCTATGCAGTTGATCTGTTGATTTTGTATTTCGTTTATGTTTGCTACATTGTATTGTATGTTGTGAAACCACGGATGCGTGCGATAATCTTGTGTGTTGGCCGCTGACGGCTGCTGGAAGCTGCACCGTGCTAGCCCGGGGCGCTGGTGCACGCGCGCACCCTCTGCGCTTGGCTCACGGGCTTTGACTGCCCCTCTGTGCTTGCAGTTTTGCTCCCTCGGCAGTCGCTGGGCCTCCCATTCGACAAGCTGGTGTCTTGTGCTTGACGGACCTTCTGTGCTTGGAGCTTTGCTCCCAGCTGCTCACTCAACAAGCTCGAGTCTTGTATAATTATGGTGGTTGGTTGAAGTTGGCGAGCTCTTCATGAGCAACGTTTGCGTTGTCTCGGCTTACTTTCGTTCGTGCTTGCGGCACGAGCAAGCTCCCATCCCATGCAGTGGGGGCAGCGCATTTCGCAGCATGGCAGTGGTTTCGCCTTTAATTTTGAGCATCTTGCTGCTCGCTTGGTCAAACCTTCGCGCATGCTGGACCCGAGCTTGTTTCAGCTGACATGCGACATGCTGCAGCAGAGTGCGTTTGGTTGGTGTTAAACGTTTTAGCGTTCTCGATTCTAGCTCGGATGCAGATTGTGTTTGACAAGTCCAATACCTGGCATTGGCAGATCCGATGTAGGAGTAACCTCATGCAAAGACCAAGGTTTCAGGCGTCATCGGAGGGCCTGCACGCGATCACAGTGTAGCTTCCCTCTCATCGGGAGTCTGCACTCTGCCAGTGTCTGCTTGGATTAGAATATCAATTGGAAAAGTGACTCGCTGCGGTGCAGCATCGTCCATTCGATGACTTCAGCGCTCAAGGAAGTGATTTTGCCCGGACTCGAGAGTCCACGTGTGGACGGAAGTTTGGACGGTCCGACACATGGAATGCGAGCTGATTCGCTTGGACCTATATTGTTTTTTGATATTTGCATGTGCGTCCCCGCCGTCCCCTGCCCTCTTGTTTCTGCCGCTGCTTTGCCTGCCTTGCATAGTGCCATGACGTTTTCGGAGCACCCTGCCCCACTTGCGTCTTAGCCCTCGCGGGTGGAAACAACGTGGGTGCCGCGTGCCCTTGCCGGGGGTCGACGTCTCTCTCTCTCTCTCTCTTTCGACGTCCGTCTCTCTCTCTTTTTTTTTCTCTCTTTTTTTTCTCTCTCTCTCTCTCTCTCTCTCTCTCTCTCTCTCTATCCTGGTCTGTGTTAAACCTGCAGTTTGCAGCCTGCAATACTAGCTCTCCACAGACACACAGACACACAGACATACATACATACATGCATACATGCATATGCATATGACTACACACACTGTTATTTTTCTGCCTTAGGACGCGGTGGTATCGGGCGCCAGAGCTTTTCCTCGGTTCCCGCGGAGATTCCAGCGTCCGATGCCGATAATGGTCGCGAGAACTTGTACGGCAGCGAGTCACTTCCACAAACATGGCACTCAGGTTGATCTCTGGTCCGCTGGTTGCACTATCGCGGAGCTGATACTCAGGAGGTCCGATTCTCGCGACTAGTGCAAGCATGGTCCGGCTGTCGCCGCAGGCCTTTGGTTCCAGGTTCGGACACGCGTGTGGGGGATCTCAGCCAGGTTTCCAGTCGCATCTCAGAGCCCTATGTATGCACCAGCTTGCCTATACTTGAAGCTGTGGTTCTGCGTGAGCCGGTCCTTTCTGTTTGTATGCTCACTGCATATGAACTTTTCAGGATATGCTGTTTCGAATTTGCGGGGCTTGTGCCTGAGATTGCCGCAAAGATCCACAAACGTGACAGTCAGAATTTCTCGGAGGGTTTTGACGTCAAGCTTCGAGGAGCTCGGTGCCCCAGATGAGAGCGAAGGTTGGCAGGCACCTGAGGGCCAATCTTGCCCCACATTTGTCCTGATGCAATGTGATGGCATGCAAAAGTTCAGTAGTGATTTCGCCGGCTGCAGACTGCATGAAGCTCCTGAGGCCACTGGCTGCGCAGTTGGTGGAGGCTCTCGGCATAAAGGGGGAATGCGGCATACGGCATACAGCATGGTCCCAGGCCTCGGGGCGCAAAAATGCAGAGCCTGCGGCCTGGCAGAGCCTGCGGGAGGCTGGCGCTTCACAGGCAGGGCGGGGATGGTTTCTGCAAAGCTGAAGCCGTGCAGGGCCAAAGCATCGGGGTCCAATCTCCGTCCCAAAGCATCTCCCTGCTCCAGCGGTATTGCTTGTTTGCATTGGCCCCGGTGTTCAATCGGCCGGGTCGCGATCATGAACGTTTGGGGATGTCTGGTGTCTCCGTTGTTATCCATGCTCATTAGTGGTCTGCCCGGCAACAGTGGCACAACAATATGAGTAGCATCAGAGAGGGCGAAGGAGCAGAAGTGCAGCATAGTGCAGCCGTTGCGGATTGGCCGTGCGGTCGCAATTAAACACTAGACCCTCACCAGACTAAATGCAAGTAGCAAGTGCAGGAGCGCAATGTTAGCCAAGCGTTATTTGGAAATATGTAATTATAGACGCAGGAGCCTTCCTTTGCAAGTCTTTCCTGGAGTGTGCATTGTGGGTGCTTCTAGCTAGACTCTATCCAGTCCCCTTTGTTTAAGAAGTACTTACTTTGGGTTTAGGCTTGAACGAATACTCCTGCTTTCCGAAAGAAGAAGCCCACGTCGGAAACCTGAGCCAGGAGTTTTTCAGTAGACCTCACAGCGGAAGCCGCACACATTCACCTCGAAGACAGAAGCAGGGTACGTATAGAGAAAAGTACCGAAAGGCGCTGAGTGCATGCATGAGTTCAGCATGTACAATGCAGCGCGAAGCGTGAGATGGTTCCACGGTCCGATATGTAGCGGGAATCAAGTCTGTCGTATAGGCAGCTGTGGACATGCTCGAGAGCATCCTTCGTTATGATGGACAGCGGCGCCTGCGCGACTTGGCTGATGTTCAGCTTCAGTCACTGCATGGATATAGCATGCAGCCCTAGGTGAAGAGTGTTTTGCTATGATGATAGACATCTGAGGATGCGACAGGGCTCTTCGGGAAATGCCATTCTTCACTGCAGAAGAGCCTGAGGCGCATCGCAACCATTTTGAAGCACACAAACGGTCTCGGACTGTCTCGAGGTGCCGGTGCCTGTGCCGGTCTCCCGGCCGCTGAGCCCTGCGACTTTGCAGCGTTCCAGGGAAGAGGCGAGAAAGGGAGAACGATGAGCACAGCCCAAAGGCAGAGCTAGGACCCCGCAGCCGAGCCTGCTCAGGCCGCTCGACTTGTGGCTCGTGGGGATTCTGCAGGGGGTTTCGGGGATGGTGGGGAGAATTTAGATAGCCGACTGGCGGCAGCCATGGAAGCTTTCGTCGCTCTCTTCAGTGTTGCGGCGACGAGCACTGCAGCTCTTTGGTCCCCAAGACTCTCATCAAGACGCATATAGCCATGCTTTCAGCCAGGACCACTGATGTTGTCTTCGGGGTGTCTGTAGGGTTTGGGGAGTCCCGGACTGAGGTTTATGCCGACCTGAAGTATGCGTGCCTCGAGAAGCTATGGCTTGATGTTTTGTCCTTGCTCCAGCGCAGCAACGGTGAGTGCAACCTGGACCATTCGTCTCAGGAATTTCGGCTTCATGTCGGCAAGCCCGTTGGGTGTCTTGGATCTGTCCAGAGGTGTTCGGGACTTTCACACTGCTAGATGCTGGCGGTGTTGGAGCACATTGATTGCAAGCACTGGCAACCCAAGGAAGGTTCTCATATCTCACGACACAATCGAATGTGCTGCTTTTGAGTTGGAGTCTCCTGCGCCTCGCAAGGACCCCAGATTGAAAGCATTTTCAGCAGTTGTAGGGCACCGATGCCGGGCAACCAAGGTTGAGCTCGCCTTGCGCGATGGGAGTGGGAACTTGATGTTACGTTTCGTGAACTATAGGTTCGTGATTGTTGCCTGCCAGAACCTCAACACATTGAATTGGAGCCCAATCGATAATAAGTGCCGGAAGACCATGATGCGAACTGCATTGGGCATGCAGGAATGCATTCGTGATAGGTAAGGGGAACGTCACTGTCAGTCCCGATGCCAGAGCTTCAGATGTGCAGGCAGAGACGACCCCCTTACACTTGGTAAGCTCGAGACCCTAGCCGATATGCTAGTGTTTCTGAGCCGCAAGCGGCCAACTCATCCCACTAAGATTAACATGGATCTGCTACTCTGGGGAGCCATTTTTTGGTGGCCTTGGCATCTTCGTTTCCGCAGCACCGTGTCAGCACATAGATGACATACACCACTGAATTGGAGACATTCCATGATTTGACCGTGCAGCCTTGTGGCTGGTGGACTTTTTCCAGGACTGGTCTCACAGTTCTTGCCTTGCATGTGTAGCCAGCGCACCTCCGCGAGGCGTATGCCGTCACGATGTATAACGATAAGGCATGGTTAGCCATGAACAAGGGTCGTTTCGTGGTCTTGGTGAGGCATCGCGGGCCATCTGATAGCTTCTTGCAGGTGAGTGTTCACTTCATCCGCAAAGCTCTGCGAGATGGAAGACTTCGGTGGGTTGCCCAAGATGCCCAAAGTCGTCTTGGATCTTATAAGACTGCAGCTTCGAATCTTGAGCCCAGGCTGCATCTTTCATCGAGAATCCCGACAGAGGAAGAGTGGTGGCAAGCGACTTGCTTGCAGACTGAAGAACTGGCCGAGCCATGAGAGCATCGCGAGCTATAACTGTCAGGACCAAGTGATTGCACACACACCGCAGGCCAGCTCAGACCACGAAAAAGTTCATGCTGTCTGCCGTCAGACCGTTACAGTGGTGATTGCCTCTGCCTCCATTCAGAATGCCCTGCGTTGGAGAAGCTAGTGCCAAGTAAGGCGTGCAACTTCCATCTTGGAAATGGGATAGGCCTTAAAGCCGTAAAGCAAGTAACGCATAATTGTCTGGCAAAATAGTTACAGTGAGATCACAAACTGCAACAGACACAGGGCAGAAGGAAAGAACGAAAGAATGAAAGACCAGAAACACAGACAGAAAGACAAAGGAAGAGAGAACGACAAAACGAAGTACAGAAACAAAGAATAATGAAACATGTAAAGAGAAAATAATCACATGCTAACCGCAGAGAAAAATCGAGCAAGTTGGAATCCCCAATACATTGACGTTGAACAGGACCTTGGGCAAAGTGCAAGTTTGCATTTCGTTTGTTTGATACTCGTGTTATTGTTTTTTTTGGCTGCCTTGTTTTGAATCGGTGACCCTTGGCAAATGGCAAGACATCAAACGATAGAGTAGCCTTCGGGAGCCTTGCAACGGAGACGATTGCATTTCCAAGTGCTCCATAATGTGAGATCTCCACGTCCGTGCACTTAGTCATGTGCACGTCTTGGTTCAGTCACACTCATGGAAACCCTCAAGAAGGCGGACCTGTGTGCGTCCAGGGGTCAGAACACTCCTGACCCCAGCAGTGGGAAGTGTTGGAAAAGCGAGTGCAAGTGTGAAGGGCTGGCGTGCTTTCAACCGTTATGGCGGGTTCTCCACAGCCAGATTAGCCAGAATTTTCCTCGAGTCAATGACATGGTGCAACAAACTAATTGTTAGGAGTCGTGTCTCTTTCATTGCCAGAGGAAACCCGTCCCGGGATGGGATTTGGGGCGCCGGATTGTTTGGCAACCAGTGGCTTTTCTGTGCACAGTAGTTTGGAGATACATAAAGTATCAACAACTCAAAGGGATATGCAGATGCCCTCGCAGTATCCATCACTGCTTCTGTTTGCCCCGAAGACGCCACATCAACTGTTTGCTGCCAGAGCACCAGGACTCTGTTATTGTGTGCGGCTTTCCCCTCCGATTTCGAAATTCGGGACGCATGCAACTTTTAGGAGAGTCTTTAGTTTCTCACGTCATGCTGCTTGCGCCTTTCTTAGACTGCTAGCAATGTGCGAAGTGGGTTGTTTTGAAGCTGGGCCTGTGGCAGTTGATGACCTCGCTTGTCACTGCGGCGAGCCCTGGCAGATTGAGCTTCGGAACGTCTTTGCCTTCTAAGCCTTGCAGCCTTGCGTCTTTGGCTTATGTGATCGTCGGCAAACCCGCCGAAAGGACTCGTGATGCGGTATTGCTCGAGCGCCATCTGCCGAGGTGCGGGGGGACATGGGGGGGGGGGGGGCGCTTTGTCCTCAGTCCTCTGCAATTCGGAGGCAACAGGCCTCTATGTTTTTAGCACTTTTTGATAAGGTCTCCTTGGCCCGTGCTGCTGCAGGGGCTACTCTTTGGAATGTGGTCCTCTGGTTTAACTGCGGAGCAGACTGTCCTGCTGCGAGCGGATGTCGCTGTTATCACAGTGGTACTAAACTCGTACTGTCAGCAAAGGTACTTGGCTTGCCTCTTGTCGGTCTGGCAAGCTTCGAGGCTCTGGCCCTATCCCTTCATGCCTCATGTCTGGCAAGCGAGCTTGATGTGGACGATTTTTTGCCACCAGAGATCACCAGCGTCTCAGAGTCAAGGTATTCGTTCCGACACTGGAGCCACCACGTTGGCTTTTACTTTGCTGCCTTCGGCACCAGCTCACTTCTTGCAGCTTTGATTCTTGGCTGCGTGCACTTCGGAGATTTACAGGATGCTCGGCATGGCCTATTCATGGTCGTTTCGTTGTAGTCACGTAAGGTCACTCATCACTAGCTCAGTTGCATGGCCATCCCAAAGGATCCTCGGTTAAAGGCTCGGGTTCGCGAATTACTGCCAGACCAAGGCATTGGCGAATGCTCTGGTGGCGTACGCAGTGAGTTGAAGCAAAAACCGAGTGACAGCGATCATGTGAGTATGCGCGGTGCGTTGCAGTGCAGGCGGTTCACGCCATGCGCACTCGACTCAAGACAGCCGTCAGGCGCAAGCGGTCGAGCGGCGGCTCTGTGAGAAGCGCGGGTCGCTCCCTCCACCTCCACCGCCAGGGAGCCCAGCAGGTCTTTGCTGTGCCCAAGAGGAGAGATGGCCTCTATACTTCTTTGTACTGTTCATGCATCTATACACCAGAGCCACGACGCAGTGTTCTCGCCAATGTCCACCCCTCCTGCAGCCCTCACTCTCTCTGTCGGCTGTGAGGGTGCATGGGAGTATCGTCGAGAGTCCACCAAGAATCACACTACCACTGCACCATTTCGCGAGGGGTGTAGCAGGGCCAGGGCTGGGCCAGGGCTGGGCCTGCAGGTCGGCACCCCGTGGATCCTCGCCATCGCCAGCACCTTTGCCGCCACAGGCCTTCTGCACAGCTCTGCACAGCTTCCAGCATCTTCCAGCGGCTCGAAGTCTGCGCGTTTTCAGCTGTTTGTCAGATTCGCCACTGCTCAGCAGCTCACATGCAGCAACAACTTAGGCTGTAGTTGCGCCTTGTCCTGTTGATAGTTGAATTCGCGACAAGCTTGAGTCATGCCATGAGGTCGTTGAACTTGACACAGGATATCCAATGAAAGCACCTTTGGGCAGACGAAGGCACTGACAGTGATACATTCTGCTGTCCTTATGGCTTGCTTGTTCGGTGGATCCCCGACCGCACCCGGCGATGACGTTCCGGAGGCCTGAGATGCGGCAGGCAAGTGCGTGTCCTGCGTGGCAGCAATCCTTGATTCGCCCTGAGGCAGTGCTGAAGCTTCCAAATGGCAAGGAGCATCGCATCAAGGTGCCTACGGTGCGTGGCGATCATAGCGAGATCTGACGTGGCCTCCAGCGGCCTGAGGTTCTAAAGCCTACGCTGGGCGAAGAGCTGTTCCTGGACATTCGGGACCTGCACCGGTCTGAAGCTAAGATACCGTCTGCAGAGGAGGACCCCTGCCCCCAGCAATGCCACCCAAGCCATGCCAGTGTGGTCCGAACAGGTCAACAGGCTACTTTGTGTACGACCCTGGTTTCACATGCACGGGGTCGTGCATGTCGGCCATAACCTTCATCGACGGTCCTAAGGCTGATTTGCTTGACTTCTCCTAGAAATCTCTGACTTCTTGGGCCAGACAGCTTCAGGAAGCTTGCACTTGTCACACACGCCCTCCTTGCAGGGAGTCTGCCTTTACCGCGGCTATCCAGTGCCGGACAGCTTGTAACATTGTAGCCGTGTGTAGTGTCGCTCCTCCTCGTCCTTCGCGCAGGACCTCGTCGACTCCGCCCCGGCATTGGAGGCCCTCTGCCCAACCAGCGGAACCGGTCAGGTCATATGGTCACAGCAGTTCGGAATCAAGCGTGTTCGTTAGCCGTGCAAGGTTGCTTACCTCCTGCTCGTCGGCGAGAAGCCCGATCCAGAGCAGTATCTGCAGTTTCATAGAGAGATCAAACAGCACATGACTCTCGCATCCAATAAGTGCAGAATGCAAGAACCGTTCGGTCACGGTCTTACATTCGAAACAGGACGTCGCATCTCAGGTTGGTGCACGAAAAGGTGAAAGCAATGTTCACAAACTTCACCATCAATGCACATCCAATGGCCATCATGGCACCTCGGCATTGGACCAATGCTTGTTTGACAATGACACAGGCACAAAAGTTCTTTTGGGGCGTTGAATTCTGTTCGTGCGTGGCTTTACGTTGTCACACTCAGCTTCCCGTGCTTTGGCTGCCTGTGGGCTTCTTGCAATTTTTGCGTGGTGTTGAGCGCTCTGGGAAGACTAATTAGAAGCTATGGCATCAGGAGTGGGTAATTTGCTAGTTTAGCCGCTGCATGCAGATGCGCAGTTGCAGTATACTCCAAGCGTCCAAGAGGTTCGGGCTTCCACCCTCGCGATTGTGTCAACCCTTTCCTGGAAAAGCAGTGCAAAGCATCCTGTTTGCAAGGTAGCTGTCATCGGTGCGTTAAGCTCTGTCTTCAGCGAGCTCGACCCATCCAACGAGATGTGACTCCACAAATCTTACCCATATTTGCGCATCTGCGCAAAGAGCGATCGAACTCGTTTGCTTCCTCGCCAGACACCGCTGGTTGGCCTGCACACGCCTCATTGCCAAGGTGCCTGCCGCGATCTCAGCTGTTTTGCTTCCTCTGCGTCGAAGTTGATGTTTAACAGCAGCAAACGGTTGATGGCAACACTGGCTCCACGTGCTCTCACTGCACTGCGCACCACTGCACAAGTTTAAGCTAAAGGAGTAAAAAGCTTCAAAAAGTCTCAAAAGCATGTCAAGTGACTCATCAGATGTCTCGCCATGATGCTGCCGATGCGAGCTCCGACGGTCAACAGTAGATGTGTCCATTGTTGCAGAGACTGTGCTTCACACGAAGACTCGCTTACTGCTCACGCGCTCTCTTCGACCATTTGCATCCGTAGCAGTACCAGTCCAATCATTCCAGCTACAATGGGCCAGCACATCACGAGGTTTTCGCTTCCATGCGCGGACTTTCGATCTTGAAAGCCTAGGGCCTACGGCCTACCTCCCTTCTCTCTGAGCCCTTCGCTTCGAGCGAGCTTCTTCCGTGATGTGACACTGTCGAGGAGGACCTAGAGTGCTTCACCGCTTGGTTTGTTGTCAACGGCTCCGACGGCATGCTCACGCGCACCTGGGTTTTTTGTTGCCATTCTTGCTGAGAATCGTCCACCTGCGCGGAAATAAAGGTCGCATGGAACGGTTTCATTCAGCTCTGCATCTGGTTGACATCCGCCTGTCTGAGTTCCTGAACTTCGACCTCTTTACTGCAAGCATTCCGCACCTGCGCCAGTTCATGCTCCAGCCTGGTCTACATCTGTGCCTCCATCTCTGCGTTCATTGCTTTCACGAGCCACTTGCTGCGCCTTTCTCGTCCCATCAGAAAAATTCGCACGTCCTGTGCACTTGAAGATTTGGCGCAATGGTCTGAAGGGTCGTTCAACATGTGCACTTGTCTTGATCCCTGTGCATGAAAGCTCAGTTTTTGGGGGGGGGGAAAATCCAAGGTTTTGGCGTGCATGGCCTACAAGACTTCCATTGGTCGTGTGGCGGAAAGCAGTCTCTGCTGAGTGTCACAGAGCAGGCTGCTTGAGCTGAGGTCAGCCATTCATGTACCCGAGGGCCGACTTGTCCTTTGCAGAGAACTTCCTGCCGCCAGTTTGAACAAGGTAGAATGTGGAACGCAGCTGCAGCCTGACAGATCTACAGATCTCAGAACATCTCAGAACTTGCTCTGAGCGCGAACATGAGGTACATGATGTTTGCCACACCTATGGAGGAGTACAGTGTGAACCCAGTATCTGCGAAGGCAATCAATGCCTTCATGATCCTGCACATGGACCACGCCGCTAGCAGAAGCGATTGAGAAAATTGCATGCGCCAGCCTGGTCATATCAGCTGTGTAGACTTGCACAGAGGCTTGCACGAAGCCAGCCCAGGAACAGAATGCCTCCACTTCCACGGTACGCATTGCAGGCAGTTCGCAGGCAAGGCGGGGACACTGTTTGTGATTCACTCGGCAGCAGGTTGGAATTTGGAGTCAAGAGACCTCAGCTGACAGGGCCAGCTTCTCCGGTACGGCCATGCAGATTGATCGCTTGTTCTGAGTCCTTTTAGAGTTTGTTACCGTCTTCCGATGCGGCACCGCAGGCCAATCCTTATGCCTGCATCGCCGCAGGCATCTGCCAAAAGTCTCTTGCAAGAGAGAGAGAGAGAGAGAGGGTCCCTAGCGGACCCCTACGCCCGGCAGAAAGAAAGAAAGAGAGAGACAGAGACACACAAAGACAGACACGGAGACAAGAGCGATACGGAGAGATACCTTGTGTTGAAGTGACACATGGGCATGATCGCCGGACTGTCCTGACTTGGGCGATTCATTGCCATGAGAGAGTCAACGCTGGGATAGTTTTTTGTTGAGAGAGGCTGGGTCAGCAGGTTCGTCGTACCAGGCCATCCCCATCTAGCCCTTCGTTTGGGCCTGGCCTGCAGTGTGGTCATGGCGCCGCTTGCAAAGGCTTCCATCATCTTCCATCCAAATGCAAGGGAAGCGCAAGCAAGACTTGGCCGGCACAAACGAGGGCAGCATCGCAGTGAAAGCTCTCAGAGGAATTGAGGAAAGTGCAAAGTCTTGTAGAGGCGACATGTTGATGCAACATCGCAGATGCAGTGTTCAAACGAACGGGGAGTTGCTCGAAGCAAAAACAGTTGCGGAAGGTTCATGTGAGATGACCCCGACAGGCGAGTCGGCGCGATGATGGGAACCAGATGATGGTGCAAAGCGCGACACCACACCACGAGCTACCAAGCCCACCGAAGGCAGAGGAAGGAAATTCAACGATGCAGCAGCGTGTGACGGTATCACCTTGGGCAGGCCAGGGAGCTTCGAACCCAGTTGGGCGAGAAGTGCAGAAAGAGATCAGCAAGGAACCGGACTGCAGCGCACCAGACTATGGGTACCAGCCTACTATGGGGGAAGGGGAATGATTCCCAACTCGGCTGGAATACACAGAAGCGCATTGCCCAAACCCCCGAGGTGGACCCGAGAGAAGAGTCCGACTGACAAAAATCCGGGTGTGAGAACAGCGAAGGTAGCAGTTTACGAGGGAAGCAAGGGCGCGTTTCGGGGCCCTCCGATCCAAGCTTGACCTTGGGCAGCCTGCCGCAACTTGCTGTGACTCCTGAATGCGTCCTGTCGGGGTGTGACAGAGAGAAGTTTGGTGTTGGGTGCCCGAGGGCTTCGAGCCTCCGACATAAAGACCTCAGGACCAGCCAATGTCCAATCGTTTTAAGGACCGGGCGCCGGTGAGAGAGCCCGAGCCAGTCACAACAACATGTGACGTTGTTGCACCCCGGGCAATTACCGAGAAATTGGAGAGTGGAGCAGATCGCACTTGTGAGGTGAAATTTTGTATGTTTCGGCTTGTAGACCTGTATACTCTGGATTGAAACTCAAACTCCAGACCATCAGCCAGCATCGTATGAGCAAAACACGGATGTTCTTTTCAGGCGCATGGAAAACCTTGAAAAGCCGCTTCATAGAAAAACGCACGGGCGACGGGTTTCGGAGCTTCTAATTTGAAGTTTTATTTCGTTGCGATCATTGAAGGTGGCACCTGAGTTTTGTTTCCTTGAGTGTTCTTGAGCCTTCAGCCGAGTAGTTGTTGCGCCATTCGAGTCCATCTGTCAGGCTGTCTTTGGCCCCTAGCTTTGACCGAAAAAGCAGCGATCGCCTGACAGATGCGAGAACAATCGAAAGCCAGAGCAAACGAGTAATGTGACCGACCGTCGTTGGAGAAGACGTGCAAGATTAAGGGGTGTTGGGCAGGGGTGCAATGGTAGGCAGGAACCGCATGTGATATGGACTCGCGGGCACACTGCTGCCGGACGTGGTGTAGTACTAGTGCTAGTACTAGTACTAGTAGTAGCAGCAGCAGCAGCAGCAGTAGTAGTAGTAGTAGTAGTTGTAGTAGTAGTAGTAGTAGAAGAAGTAGTAGTAAGAGTAGTAGTAAGAGTAGTAGTAGTAGTAGTAGTAGTAGTAGTAGTAGTAGCAGCAGCAAGTAATATTAAGTGTCATATCTAACATAATCGCACTTGCAGATACTATCAGTGGGAATAGGACTGGTTTTTCGTTGTAACGGTTCTGGGCATTTTGCTTTTGTCACAGTAATAGGAATAGTATCAGTAGTCGTAATGTTAAGAGAAATACAATAATTGTGGATGGACGGATGGGTGGAGAAGGACGAGGACGCAGGATGAGGCTGAGAATGGCCGGGGGAGGTGGGGGATGAGGATGAGGCAACAGTATCAATGACCACACGATGAACACATATGTGTCATGCGTGCAAAGACGGCCAACCGTACACAAGCACACCAGCAGCGTCCAACTTTGCAGGACCTTAAAGTCCATCTGCGTAAGGGGAAGTAGTTTGAAAGGGACTTTAGTTCTTCATACCTACATTTTGGAGTTGGTTTTGGCTGGGGTATACGCTCACACTCTACCAGTCACAGTCTGGAAACCAGACGTTTGTAGCTCGTTGAGAGTCGGGGCTTCAACTGCCGTCAGACATTCTAAGCCGTTTGCACGTATGACATAGCGACACATGCTTTAGCATTAAACTGGTCCAAGCCTGAAACAAACCATAACGTTGACCAATTTGGCGTGCACGCATGCGCATGCATCCTGCATGGTCAATGGAACATGAGCGCTTCCATCAGCTTCATGCGCGAGGCGTAGCTTCCCTCTGGGGCCCAGCCCATGGAGGCGCCAACGAGGCAGCCTCTCGGAGCAAGCAAGAATCGCTCAGGTTGCCATGTGCAGCAGGTTCGCCATGCAAACTAACGAATCTGTTGCTTCCTTGGCACCAGAGACAGAGACTGAGGTCATCAATATGCTGGAGCAGATAGGAAGCAAAGACAAGGTAGCTCAATTCGTGGCTGATGTGAAGGCCAAGAAGGTCGGCACGCGCTAACCATCCCGCGTGAACTCGTGAGACGACAGCGGCGCATCCGTGCAGGAAGGGGTGCGGCTGATGGGTTTCGGCCATCGAGTCTACAAGAATTATGCCCCACGGCTGTGCTTTGGAGATGTTTGTCATTCTACCGAATGCGTGGTTCCGACCCCCGGTCTATCACGAGATATTGCAAGCCTGGCAAGTCTCTAGAGCGAAGCATGAGTCCCGATGGTGTCCCTCTCGCTTGCGGAATGGCTGGATTCGTCACATGTTAACAGTTGCCCGAGGACCCCAGAGCACGTGTAATGAAGACGTTGGTCGCGGAGGCAGCGTGGCCAGCAAAATCACAATCCGTAGCAGCTTGGAAGCCATCGTGACTCGGCAGGTGCTCAAAGAGCTTGGCGTGGAAGATCCACTCCTCGGAATCGCCCAGGAGCTGGAAAAGGCAGGCAGCACACCGCGAGCCGTCCAGCCTGGAATGCTGAAATTGGCATTGCGAATGAGGTGGCCCTGAGTGATAGCTACTTCATAGATCGGAAGCTCTACCCCAATGTGGACTACTACTCAGGGATTATGCTGCGAGCAATTGGCATCCCGACCAGCATGTTCACGGCGGCCTGCCTGACTTTCATTCGGTTGCTTGGTGTTTGGGGACTTTGTTCTGTGAGCGTCTACATGGAGCATGGCTCAAGAGGGGTTCGAAGTTGGTACTGCCAGACTGATCGTAACGGAAGTCTCTGACCGATCCCAGTGTCTGTCTGAGGTGATGTTCGCCATGTCCAGGACGGTCGGATGGGTCTCGCAGTGGAACGAGATGGCCTTTGCCTGAACTTCTCGACGGGAGTAGGCAAGAGGCAGATGAACACCCCTTCGCACACTCTCGCGAAGGTTTCGGAGAAGCAGATGCGCATTGGCCGTCCAAGGTGCACTAGGGCCTGGGATTCGTTGCATTTCTTGGTGGACTGCCGTGAAGGCAGCTCTACGTGGGGCCGGGTGAGCGGAAAGAGCCTTGGAAGGCGGCGCAGGAGCTGTCGAACATCCACGAACATTCCATGAATTGAACAGACACTGGCCGTTTTCGGTTGCTGGCTGGCCCGGTGCACAGATGTTGGGATTTTGAGGATCTCGACTCCTCCACGGCAAAGGAGGTGATCATCGACAACTCCTCGCAAGGTCCCATCCGCTTCAAGCCTCGGATGCCCTGCAGCAGCGACACCGTGTGCACGGAAATATTTGAGCGTGTTCTTGCTGTTTCATGCAAGTGCAGTACGGTGCTTTTTTTTCACTTCCTTCTGACCTCGCACTTGTAGCACAGGCTTCTTTCGATTTCGGTTGAGTTTTGGATTTGTCAATCGCAAAGGTAGCTGCGTCGCTTGTAGGACACGGAGAGATGATAGCAAGTGTGAGGGCAACCGGTACTGCAAGTGTATCTATCGCACAAGCATGAACAAGCTCGTGGTAGCTTTAAGCCGTTCAAGTTGGAAAAACTGTCACAGGTTCGTCCGAGGTCCGATGTAGCAGCTGGTACTCTCATGCAAAGCAAGAGGAATCAGGAAAGCGAGTTTTTCGAGTCTAGGACTCTAGGAAGTTTCGGTGAGCATTTTGGTACACAGCCTGGAAATACTAGCAAGCCATGGTATCAAATATGTACCAGTCCTGCAGGTTGTGCTAGGACGACACGAGCCTTTGCAGGCCTCTCGAAAGGTCCAGCTTCCACAGCCACACTCTTCTGACTTTCCGTACTCACACCACGAAAGACGTCTCGCTGAGCGAAGCTGCGAATCCTGTCGACCGGCGAAAATACCCACTCAGGAAGTCTTCCTCATTCAGGACCGGCGGGGGAGTTTGGCCGGGTGTTTGGGCCGTCGAGCTGGGCACTTGCCAGGATGGAGCTGCCCGATGTGCCTACTCGCTGACCCACTCTTACATAGCTTTGAGCGTTGGCCTAGCATCTGGCAGTGATCCTCCTTCCCTGCACCTGATCCGCACAAGCCGGTGCGCATCCGTGTAGAGTGGAAGACTGTTCAGGCAGGCAAAAGAGCCGCACAGGGTCCCAATTTCCGTCAGCTCGCTAATTCTCGGACGCGGCGACTCGGCAGGCAGTCAAGCCAGAAGGCGGCTTGCACGGGGCACTGACGGGACTTGCGGCTTTCGTTTGCCCAGTGGTCCTGTGGTACTGGCACTTGTCAGGCATGCCAGCCTCACCCGCTTGGGGCTTACCTCCTTGCTGTCGTGCAGCATTGCCGATTTGTCGCACCGTGAAGCCCGCATGAAAAAGGAACCGACGACTGCTTGCGGTGATCCGAGCAGCGAGGACGAGGCCCGCTTGACTGCTCGCACCACCGACCCCACAAGAAGCGCGCCATCCCCAACATGCCAGGCTCTTGCAGAGGCGCAAGGACCTCAGCAGTCAAACTTGCACAGAAGATACCACAGTGTGTTTTCGACTGTCCACCGGAGGTTCTGGAACAGTTGCAAGCAAGGGGCGCCATCAGCTGGACCGGTACCTGTTACTGGCTCAGGCACTGCTGTTGCTTTGCAACGAGTGTCTCTTGAGTTTCGCCAAGGCTGCGACGAGTCTGTCGAGCCGGACAGCCAGGTGCGAGGGGGACCGCAGTTACGCACGAGCAAGGCAGCCCTCTTGGGTTTCCATCCAAGGGCCAGGGTTCCACGGCGAGCAGCCCCGGCGGGACTGTCCATGGCACCCAGGTCTCCCGGTCTGCACGTCAGTTCTTAGGCTCTTATGCCCTTAAGAGTTGTTGGAATACGATTTTACACACTATGTTTCCCCATGTGAAGCAATTTGTGTTGTCTGATCGTGTAGAAAAAAGGACGGAGCCTGACAAGCCAACACAAGAAGCGTAGCTTAGGTACGCTTCGCGTTCGGTTTCGGGGTTCCTTCGGTCTAAGGACTTTAGGAGGGACATGGAGGGACCCCTAATAGGCACCCTTAGTCCCATTACCTTAAACAACCATTGTATAAACCTTATACACCCCTTATATAGCCAGGTTGTCTCCACATTCACCCCAACAAGCTACAAGAGTCCCTCGCAGAAAACGCCACCGAAGTGAAA